CCCCAAAACCCCAAAACCCCAAAACCCCAAAACCCCAAAACCCCAAAACCCCGAACGGGCATATGCACATTGAAGGAGGACATTAATTTATGGAGATTATCAGCGGTAAACCCTCCTTAGCTATTTCATGAAATAATTAGGCATTCTGGTTTAAAATTTTTGAGCGAATAGTGGAGATATTCACCTTCTTTCAGATTTTAACCAAGAAACCTCTATCATGCTTTTTGAGAGTCAGCCATTCAGGCACAACTTGGGAAATCTCTTGCAGAGTAGTAATGAGTTCTTTCTTACTATAAAAATTGCCTCTTTGAGAGTCATTGAGGTACTTCAAGACATGGTTGAGGAAAAGTGTGTTCACTTTTCCTTTTACGCTGAAGACACTTTTGACAGCTTGTGCTATCTTGAGCATGAGTTCGATTTTCCTCTTGCTCTCGCCACGCTGACTTTCATCTTCAAGCCTTTTCTTTTCCTCCTTGTAAATTTTCTCTTTAGTCTGAATTCTTTTGTAGAAGGATGGAGAGATAACTCCAGTGCCGATCTTAGCAGGGCTCCTCTTTTCAGGAGAAGGATAAGCTAAGGAACTATGACCAGTACTTTGAGAAGCTTGCTGCATATCGCTCTTAAGAGCATTAGAGTCACTCTCAGCCTGCCTCTTCAACAAAGTGCTCTTGATGTTCTTGTTCTTGAGAAACTCAGTGATGGTCTCTCCTTTCTTTGATTTCGGCATATTTTTGAGGGTCTTCTTTTGAAGATCCATGACACTCTCGATGTCAAAGTTTGGATGCCATCCCTTCACAGCATTGTATTCAGTATTCTTGCATCCCTGCTGCATAAGGAAATTTTTGTGGAGATTCTCGATGTACAGAATAAGCCTAGTTCTCATAATGATCTTCCTCTTGTTGTTGAGGAAATTGGTCATGGGCTCACCAATAGGAGACTGCCTAACTTCTACATTAATACTTCTTTTGTGAACTTTTGTGATGATTTCTTCAATATTTTCTGGAATCTCAATACGAATGTCCTGAGTTGTGCTGCCTGCAACTGTCTGCCAAGTGTAGAAATATAGCTCAGGAGCGACGTAATACACCTTTCTAAAATGGTCGATATCAAAGGTCCTATTTGTGGACTGTTCAATATACGGCTTCAGATTTGAAAGCACTGGGATCTTCCCTCTCCTCTTACAATTATTGATAGCGTTGTCTAATTCACAGAAAAAGTCGAAGACTAGCTGTAACTTCTTGGGCAAGATGATCTGGTCGTACTCTTTAGGTCTCTCGTTAAAGTCGATCCTCATTGGGAAAGTGGTAACCACTTCTTTGTTCTTCTTCACAGCTTCCTTCTTGCTAGCTGACCTTGGTTTCTTAGGAAGAGGAGTTTTAAACTCAGAATCAGTATCCATGAGTGGCTGCATGCTAGTTTCCTCAACAGGAAGAATTAATCTATTGGTGATTTTAGCAGGAGACCTGAGGTTCCCGATTCTTTCCTTAATAGACTCTACAACTTGTTTAGCTTGTCCTTGAGGAGTTGGAGTGAGCTTGCCAATGACTGGTCTAGGAGGAAGTCTAGCTGACATCTCTAAAGATGAATCAACAAGAGGCTTCCTCTGGATCTCAGTGACCAAAGGAACAGAAATATCTTTGTTGGGAGTCTGTACTTTTTCTATGATTGTGGTTGGTTTGTTGTCAGGTTCAAATTTAGAAATCCCAGTGGTCTGGGATTTCAAATCTTTGATTTGATCCTCTTCTGTACTTCCTGGAGATAAAAGTTTTCTTGCGCTAGTGAACTTGTTTTCAGATCCAAGACTCTTCTCATCAGAATCTAAGGCTGGGAATGGGATAGGAGTCATTTTATTCTTGCCAGTTGGGGTTTTCTTCAATTTTCTCTGATTAGGAGTAGATTTTGGAGTACTATGGAGACTTTTCAGCCTAGCCTTTTCTCCTCTTGCTCTAATCTTTGAAACAATCTCAATAGCACTTGGCTTTTCCTCCTCAGGCTGGGTTGTATATTTAGCCTTAGCTGGAGACTCCTTTTGCTTGCTAATTTTCTGAGATTTGATGAAATTTTCAAAATGGATTTCATCTAATTTCCGCCCATGATTAAAAGTATTTAAAGTTTTTGGTTTAGTTTTAACATGTGATTTCCTGACGCGAAGTACCGCCAATGAAGATTTGTTGCCTTTAATAGAGCTAACCTCAGATCCTGTCATCCTTGAAAGTTCTCTATTTCTCTCTGCTTGATCTTCAAGTGATAAAAGCTGTTGTTTTTGCTTTTTAGTCAATCCCTCAGGTAAGTCTTGAACCCATTGTTTGTCCAACTCTTTCTGAACTTCTGATTTTGGCGGGATTGGAAGAAGGACACCTCTCGTAACAGCCCGAGGAGTTGATTCAGCCATCCTAGAGCTCTTGTAGGACTTATTTGAAACTACCGACTCTTTAGAATTTAAATTTTTGAAATTAACGACCGATTTTGCTTTTGAATATTGTTTTTGATTGTTGATGCTGTTCTCTTCCATGCTTTCTTTTTCCTTATCTTCCCTTTTGAGGGACCTCTTCCTTTGCCTCATGTTCTCGTAGACAGCAGAAGCTTGTGTGGTAGGCTTATGGACAGCTCTGTTGTATCTAGACTTTCCTTTATATTTGTTAGCTCTCTGTGTCCTGACAGGAACGGGAGCTTCTTCATTTCCAGACTCCTGAATCCTGACTTTTCCATGCTGGATTGAATCAACTACATTGAGATCAAATTTGTATGGACTTCCTCCGAAGCAGCTTCCTTGCTTCCTAGACAAGGACTTACTACCAGAAGTAGTCTGATGGACTGGTGGGACTACACTTTTGGAAGACTTGTAGTACCCATTGAGCACTTTCATTCTTTTGTTGCTTGACTTCATATTTTAATTTTGGATTTAAATTCGTCTATTTGCAATAATTAATTCCAAAACCGGGGTTTTGGGGTTTTGGGGTTTTGGGGTTTTGGGGTTTTGGGGTTTTGGGG